GGGGGGGGGGGGGGGGGAGTGCCACCCCCCTTGCCCCTACCTGCGGGCGCCCATGAGTACAACAGATAAAATGATATTTTTAAAAGGAAAAATCCATGGCGACACTTTACATGTGGGAAATAAACAATATTTCTTGTTGGGAAAAAATACAAGTTTGACAGCAAATGCCCATATTGGCTATAAAAATACATATATTTTCTAAAACCCAATGCAAGTCATTTCGTCAAAATAACCATGTGCATTAAGTTGCAAATCTTTACGTGTTTTAGTTTTTGAAAAGTAAGTGAAAAAAAATATCGCAGAAATTTGAACATAAATGACAAATTGATGGGTCCAAAAATGAGAAACTATTTCATTTGCAGAGTAGTCAACCTATTGTCACTAATCACAATAACTTTTTGTGAGTAAAAAAAAATACAAAGACATTCATTGTTGTTAATCCCACCCTAAAAATGCATTATCATAACAAATATAGACTGTACTTTCTCATTTTTTTTCTTAAAATAGCATCCTTATGATTAACCATCAGGCTAAAACGGTCAAAGTTCACTGTTCTGGTTGAAATTGAAAAGGAAGTAATACCACCAGTTAAATCTATAGATGGTACGACTCACTTGTAAAATTCTTGATTGTTTTAAAATTATTATTTGTTTTAAATTCAAAGTTAATCTACGTAACCGAAACAAACTATCTAGCTTTTGACATTGTGTCAAAATAGAAAGTTTATCAGAGTTTATCATGTTATACATTTTACGAAAACGTATAGACACCTTCATGAAAGTTTATATTCGAATGTAAAATAAATAACGTTTCATTTTCCCGGTGCTTAACAACGTACACATTAATCTCTGCTTTTAAAAACATAACTGTGAGTATGATCTAATATTTCTTCATAAATATAATGTAAAATCAACGCAAGAGTGTAGTGTAGTACATGTGAGACTCCGTTCAAGATTAGAATACCCTGTTAAGGTCAGAGTAGCAACTAGTATATGACGATTCTTCTTGAATATATATTTTGGCAATGACATCTTGACGGATGTAAATAAGCGTTAATTGAGACTTATTTTATGCAGACAAGATTTAAAAGTATCATCGTGTAAATGGACTAATACAATTGAATGCCGAAATATTGGATGGGTCGGAATAATAAATGTGTTATAACCTGTGCCTTCAACTAACCTTTCATCATTGTGGACATGATGGAATTTCCACTTTTTCGCCCCCGTATTTTTGTTTTAATGTTGAAGTCACTTGATAAATAAGTAGCATTGTACAAACCCAATCACACACTGGATTAGGAAAAAGTTCTTTACGTTCTATTTTTTCTAAATATTTTTATCGGGTGATGCAACAGGTTTCTATCATCCTCACATAAATAAGCCGATTTGCCGGAAGGGAGACAATTGAGCTCATTTTCTTAGACTTTTACGAGACGTATTTTTTTAAAAACATTCATTAAAGTCTAACAAAGTTTTACTTGTGTATGTATATATTTTACTTTTTAAGTTAATTTAGTTTTAATATATATAACATTAATATTGATAGTTTTATATAAATGTAATAGTATAATAAGATTGAAAATCGTTAATGTCATTTCATCAGGCATCGTTTTACTCTTTAAATTAGTTTTCAGTCATTCGTTATGTATTGTTAGTAAAACGATACAAACTAACAAAATTTTATTAACTATATTAACTATATATATATATGTAGGTATGTAATTAAGTGGGAAATGACTATAATTAAGATTATTATGTATCTATTTTATTTTTAAATTATATTTAAATAATTTTCATGTTTGTCAGGAGTGTCAACTATTGCTGATGCTCTACAAGTAAAACAGAGTGTCTGGTGTGTTTTTCAAATGTCTTTAAAATATACTGATACGAGCGTTATAAACAGCTAGTCATATCAAAAATAAAATTTAGAAAACGCATTAAAACATGACTTAGAAATAGAGAAGGCATCACAAAGTAATTTGATATCAGAGAAGAAGAAGTATGATAATAAAATTTTCCATAAACGTATGACATCTCTAGCATCAATCATACAGTTCAAATTATTAAAAAAATTAACATTTTATCTTTTTTTCTTAAGCACATACTTTTTATTTTATAAAGAAAGATTATTACCGGTAAGTTTTTTTAAGGAAAAAAAACGCAAATGTTTTTGTTTTGTTTAATGCAATAACTTTCTGCAAATCTAATTAATTGAAAATTTTAACCCTAATTGTTTTGATATATTTGATTTAAATTTTAAGGTTATGTCAAGGTTATCTTTAGGAATTTTATATTTTACTATCACATGCATATGTACGTACAAGATTTTAATTGTTTTCATTCTATTTAGTATACGAGGATTTATTTTTATTTATTTTTATTTTTTGAACCAATCTAACTAATACATTTTTATTATTATTTTAAAATTGAATAACAGTGATATGGACCTTCCTCGAACACAACTCGTTTACATCCTTATTTTAATTAAAAACGGGCATATCTATGGACATTTCGGTTAGTAATAACTTTATACATACACATAAATAACAAAAGTTTGCAAAGTTTATAAACATATTAGACACAATTGAGGTATTTGCTTTTATTCCCATGTTCTTAAATTTTTAATTAAGAATATTTTTGTTTATGTGAAATTTTATTTTACTCATTATATATGTGTATAATATGTCTTGTTTATTAGGAGAGTATATGCATTATTAGATATGCAGTGTGTTTTTCTCAATCTCTTTAGCTGCACAAGATACATGTCAAGTGGCTGAAGAAGGCAACGAATACAATTTTCTTTTTAAATACCAACTTCAAAGCGAATATGTTGATACTAAGATCATGGTTCATAACAAGGACACACCAATTGCCAAATGTGATCTACCAAACCCTTGCATATCCTATTATTCAAACATAAAAACGTATGTCACTATCAATGCCACGGGTCAAGAGCTGGCTGTTATTTTACAATTTGATCAAATGTCAAGAAATTATGGTGGAAACTGGAATATCGGCTACAATAATGTAGAATCTGAAGCAACATTGTCTGTTTTTAGTATGTACATTTTATTTTTTTTATAATATTCAAATTAAGAATTTTTATTTACACACTGTAGTTTACCTGAATGATAGTAATAATCCATATTTTTAACATTTCATTTTTTTTTTAAATATCAGTAGGTTTTTATAGTAGATGAGCAATTAAAGCAAACAAGTTATGTTATATATTGATTGTAAATATAAATTCAATTCCATTCACTTTTGCTTTTTGTTAGAAAGAGCTACCGCTGAATGTCACCACTCAAGTTATGAAGAAAAATTGCACATCGTTTGTTCTTCCAAAAAATGTTACCCTGAAGCAACATGTGAAAGTACTTTGGTTTTTCAAAATGTAAGATTTATTAACTAAACCCCCCAAAAAAATTGATAAATTATCTAACAAAGTCACGTGCGGTATACATTATATAACGAAATCACTCTTGTAAATCAATAAACTTGTTTAATTTTAGTCCAAATATCTATTTTAAAATGTGCCTTCGTTTGGGTAATACGCAGTTATACATATTAAGGGGCATTTCTGAGAGGTTTAGGAATGTGTTTTGTGTTCTTTGTTGATAAATAGGCCTACATGTTAAAATAGATGGATGGATGTTTTTTCGAGTTTTGTATAATCTTTCACAAGTAATTTTTATTTAAAACATGATTTGTTATCTCAGATGGTTCAATTAAAATATATATACCCAAATAGGGCCACACACATATTTCTAAACATATTTTAAAAATATGTTTGTATTTTATCATATTACAAAGTAAAAGCAATCGAATCATACTTCGATAACTAAGCAAGAAATTGAAAAAAAAAATATCTGCATTTAGATAATGTATTGTTATGACATATTCTAAAACGTTTCATTATCATACAAACAATTTAACGTATGGTGCAATGCAGCCATAACTAGAAACGTTATGAACGCAAAAGTGAACACGTGAAGAACCTCAAACGCTTTGTTAGGTGGCATACCTACGAAACTGAGAAGCTAGCTAATCATGTTGAGCCTTGTTTATGTGATACATATTTTTTTCAAAATAAAGATTTGAGATCCAAATTATGCGTTGGTTTGCTCGTTAACACGTATTAATTTCTACGAAGACGTTTAGCTAAAATCTGAAGTATTCAATTTATGAAATCAGTTGTAATTTGTGATATATAGCTTAGAAAGCCCTCAAAAAATATTAATAGCTATTTTTAGGTTAGTGTGGGTGTAAAGGCCACGACACAGCATGCCTTCCTTTAGTTACAAATTATTCTAAATTTAACTATTGTTATAGCTATTTTCGACCATTACTTTTGGTGGTTAAAGATACTTTACAATTCCATTAGTGCGTATGCCATAAATGTTACATATTTAAAGAAAAACTTCAAATGAATAAAAACAAAACAAAATATATGGAAATTATCTCAATGTTGATTCTATTTTTGTTAGTTTCTTTGTGTAATTATTATGAAAAATCTTTGATTCTGACAATGTCTCTTTTTATTTACAAATATTTTTTTCTTCATTTCACATTATCATTAGCTTTTGATACTGAGTAGCCAAAACGTGTGTGTGTGTGTATGATGTCTAAGTCATGTCATATAATTCAAAAATATGCAAACTAACATTCATTTAATATGTTATGACATGGGCTTAACGGGTAGCGGCGGGGGGGGGGGGGGGTAAGCGAGGTTTGTTTCGTCATAATGTTGATATATTTTTTTGAATATGCGTACGTTTTTATGAGTACAATGGAAACCCTTCCCAACCAGGGACCAGCAAAACTAACGCTTCAAAAAATATGCAAACTAACATTCATTTAATATGTTATGACAGGGGGTTAACGGGTAGCGGGGGGGGGGGGGGGGCGTAAGCTAGGTTTGTATCGTCATAATGTTGATATATTTATTAGAATATGCGTACGTTTTTATGAGTACAATGGAAACCCTTCCCAACCAGGGACCAGCAACACTAACGCTTCATGTTTGAATTGTGTTATGTTTATGGGATACCGCAGTGGTTTTCAACATATGGGTCACAATGCCTTAGTAGGTCGCGTCAGTGGTGTGTTAAAAATGTTCTATTTTTTTATTTATTTTTAATAAAGTATTTTAAATTATTTCTTTCTGAATTGATTGATTTTTCCATGGGGAGGGGATGGGTTTTATTTAATTTCATTTGAAAGTATAAATAGTATGAACGGTTTTCGGACTAAATTGTTATCTTTCCTACACTCTTACTACACTACAGTGATACACATTTTTAAAAAAATATGATTCATTTGGTAGATTTTAACATCTCATTCAGTTTACTTTTTTGCCACTTATTTATATAATTGTTTTCTGTTCTTTTTCTATTAATGTTATTCTTTGTTTCATTTTTATGTGTTTTAACTTCAAAACTGGCAACTTCCACGCTAAACTACAACTAGGTGTGTGAATTTATCAATATTTTCATCTTGGAATAGGTTTTGGGGAGCACCCTATGCAAAAACATTAAAGTTGTTAGTCATTATTTCCTAATAATCCCCACCCCAATAAAAATTACAGAATGAACAAAAAATCTATGCCCCTCTTCCCTTCTCTAAACCTGTTTCTCGTTTTCTGCTGTTGTGGGTCACCCCATCTTTGCAAATTTTCAGAATGTGTCGCAGCAACAAAAGGTTTGAAAAACTCTGGGTTAGGATTATATTCTTTAGTTATTAGTGTTTTAAAACCTTTAGCTTTGATGCCTTTATGACTGCTACTGGTTTTATACGTGTACATTCACTTTCCCTTCGTGAATCTAGCACATTTCGGAAAAAGAAATAATTCTTTTTGAAACAATCGGATCCGGAAATCAAGCTTAGAACCTTATGACTATTTCCTCAAAATGCCACGAACCAAAATGCGTTTAAAAAAAAAAAAATTAACTTGTACAGATCTAGTTATTATTTGGATTTTCTAATGATTTAAAAAAGCTGTTCAAACATTGGGTCATTTGATTCACTATTTGCACACGAGATAAGTCTTCAGTACATGTTTTTCTGCAAAATACGTTTTCAGTATCACAATTTTCCCCAATTATTAACTTTTTTTTTTCCATTTATTTAAATATTACCTGTAATGTACTATTATACAAAAAATTAATTTGACCAGTGATTTATTCCATTTTAATATTTTTTGGGGGGATGGGGTGAGGGGAGGGGGAGGGCCGTTATAAATGTTTTAATCTATATAAATTTGTAAAACGATTATCCTGACAAATTTTAGTTAATTAATAGTTTTGTAAACTTTGTATGTATGAGCTCGTACTTCTAAAACAAAAATAATGCATTATTTTATTAGGATTATTACAAAAAAAAAACAATTATAAAACTTTTTTCTTTTCTTTTAAATGTAATTCTTTGGAAACAATTTCAACAAATAATTTTAATTACAAACCATCATACATAAACCAAAAATATATTTCTTTTTAAATGAACACATAAAAAAAAAGAAGGTGCATTTTTTGTGCATCATAACAATTATATTTCTGTTTACCACTCATAAAAATAAAGAAAGAAAAAAAATATATTTATCATTGCTAACAATTTAATTTTTAAATTATTCCATGTTTCTTCATAGGTATAAAATAGTATATATGTAGCTTATATACCTGATGTGCCGAAAATATATGGAAATGGTCAAATCTTGTATTAAATGTCACTTTAAAGACATGGTTAAATAAAAATTTTTAAATGATGTAATCTAGTAGTTGCATTCATTTATTGCAATAATGTAAATGCTTTTTTGTATTGTAAACAGATGACAACAGTAGCAGCGATGCAATCGATGAATGCAAGTAGCAAACAAATATCAAGAAGTCCCGTCTATTACCAGACAAACTGTTCAACATTTCTCTCTATACAGAATGTGATCCCCGGAGAATATCTAATAGTGATCTGGTTGTATCAGAACATCTCGGGGTGTGGGAATGATTCCATAATTTCAACAAACTATACTCTACCTCTATACTTAAGTAAGATTGTCATCGTTTATGTTATATAATGATCTTTCTTCATTTTAATAATTACCAGACATTAGATCAACAATTACGATATTTAACTTTTAAATCATTTAAAAATGTTTTAAAAAAAACAATGATAATAATAAAACATCCAGAGTCCTGGATGGTTTGTCTATCCTAAAGTGCACTGATGTAGACTATTGGTTTGGATAAACTGCATCAGCTTTACGTTTTTAAAACATAATTGAATCGATAGGGAGAAATGTTGTACTTAGCACCAAATGTATTTGTTTACGCCTACGACGCCCCATCGATTAAAAAGAAAAACGTTATATTTCAATTTCAAGAGAATTTAATGATTATTGAAACTAATTTTGCAGATAATCAATAATTTCATAATTGTGATAAAAATATTTTAAAACCCTATTTGCTGAAAAAAAAAATATTTTGCTTAATTATCCAGTAATTAAAGCAATATTAATTTAATCATTTAATCGGAAATTAGATATTTTATATAATTTTATAATAAATTCAATCATTAGCGTTGTTATATCATCGCCATATGCATTTTTTCTTCGTGACCATTAGGTAACACATCCTGATGGACGAATTTCTCTACTTTGCTGGAGCATACTTCCAGATATAATTTAGTTATATTAAAACAAGAAAACATTTTTATTAATATGCTATTTTGTTAATGTCTTATTACCCCTTATACATTTGTTGTTCCCTTTTTGGTGTAATATATACCTGTTAACCGATCACAGGTCTAGAATAGAAACATGACAAGTTCCGTTCCTTAATATTTTATTGTTGTTTATTTAAATTAAGAATCTTTCCTCATTTTTAAATTAATGAATATGCTCTATTAGTTTTAAAATTTACTTCATAAAATAATTGTATTTCTTCCGATAATACACATATCATGCGCGTTGCTTAAGTTTTAATGAATTTTTAAAACATTTCATGACTAATCTGATAATTTTGGCATACAGAAGACCGATCTGATTTTTTGAAAGATAATAATCAGTTGAACTGTGAATGTGAAGATTCTGAAAGAATTTCCTCTAATCGTTCATTGATGTTGGAAGAAATAAGTTGTAGAGCACTTATTGTTCACAAAGGATCTCAAAGACTAAAGCTCATTGCCATTGGTTCTGCGCAAAGCGTACAAGGTAAAGTAGAATGTATAACATTTCAAGGGAATTTAAACTTAGGTTATCGTAATTGACATATTTATATTAGAACGATACATATATATTTTAGATAGCAAGTCAATAGTTAATTTAGTTACGAAATTTAAAAGAAAAGATAACGTCTTTAATAAAGCTTTGAGACTTCGAAGTTGTTGCCTCATTTTTAGTCGGTCTATATTTTATTTTCTATCTTTATACTTCTACTTGCATCGCTCACTGACTTTTCTTATAAAAGTATTTAACTTTTGGTAAGCTTGTTCTGTAGTATCATGTTCATTATAGTAAAAAGCAAATAATGGTGAACACATCAAATGCACATTTTTCATATTATAAACTAAAACTATCACTTATACCTGAACTTTAAAAAAAACATGTGTTTCATGGTCTTTCAAGAGAAAATATGTAATTCGTTAACACATAATTTCATATGAAGTTTAGCCTTATATTTTGATCTCAACTTACAACAATTACACTTCTTTTATCATTTTTAACATGTATATACAATTAAATGTTAATAATACATTACTTATGTGGATTTGCATTACATCACTATAAATTACCTCATATGACGCTACCTAAGCTTTAATATAAATTGCTCTTTTATAAAAAAAATTAACATCAAATAATCGAAATTAGAAGAAGAGGAAATTTCGACCTGCTACGTCTCTGATGAAATGTTCCTCCAAAATATTGCAACAGATCTTTGCAACAAAACTAAGGTAATCCTGTCGTTGTTCATTTTTTTTTAAAGTCATGTTATTTACATCAATTAGTTTCTTACCTCAAATTTTTATTTATCAAAATCATATATTTTCTATCAATCAATCTATCTATCTATCTATCTACCTATCTATCTATCTATCTATCTATCTATCTATCTATCTATCTATCTATCTATCTATCTATCTATCTATCTATCTATCTATCTATCTATCTATCTATCTATCTATCTA